TTTTTACATGCAGGTTTAGTGTCAAGTGGTTTTTTTTTTTTTTTAATGACAATAACAATTTTGGGATTTTTTTTCTCAATCAGGTAGTCACCAAATCTACAAATGATTTGTCTCTCATTCGATTGAAGTCTTCCAGGCAGAAAAATAACTTCTTTCTCGCCAAATGTTAAATGACAATCTACATCTTCTGGCCACTGCTTAACATCAGATATTCATGCTCATTTGAGTAAATCAGCATCCTTTTTTGCAATAGATACCTTTTGATTTTCATAGAAAGCCATCTGACAAATTGGAAGATCTTCTTTTTTAAAATTCTTTCTGCAGAGACTAATACCTTTGAAGGTCAGAGTTTTTGATGTGATGGCATTTTCATAATATGGTCAATGACATTCCTTTCTGTCTTCAGATATGTTAACTATATTTTCTATCCTTTTGCTGGCTTTGTATAAATCCATGTCACATTCTTGTAAATCTAGGCTCAGTTCTAACAGTTTTTGGAAGGCATCACACATTACTCCTAACCAAGTCTAGTAGAAATTTAACTGAAGTTATCTTCCTTTGTACAACTTTATATATGACTTTCTTTATTACTTTTACACTCATTTCTAAGCTAAAAGTGAAGCACCAAAGCTTCATAACCTTCCCATACAGGGGAATTTGATCTGAACCTGGTCGCTACCCATTGTGTACTTAATATTCTTCCAATTATTTGTAATTTTAATTCCAGCAACTTTACACATTCAAATAAATCTCAACTTTTTTGGAGTTGGGGTGCAGTATGCTACAAAACATATGACTGTCAATGAAAGATTTGAATCAATTGATTATAGGGACGGTATGTATAATGTCATGGATAATTCCAATCTATGGCTGACATAGTGCCATACAATAACAGAGAAAAATCTATATTTCAACAATTACTTAACTCCAGCATGATCTTCTAGCATCACAGTTAGGAGAAAAAAAAGTGGCTTTAATCTCAATAAAGGAAGTAAAGTGGCTTACAACTCTAGAGAAAAATGTCTGCTAAAATCATTGTGAGAGAGAGTAATTTTCAGCCCTTCCTCCAAGATAATAATATCTTAGAATAGTAGAATTGGAAGATGCCTATAAGGCCATCAAGTCCAACTCCCTAGGTGGTCAAAGAAACCAGCATTAATAGCCCAAGTTATACCAAAGGTATTTAAACACAGTGCAATCATACACACACACATACTCCAAAATATTTCTCTTGAGCTGAATAATAGGTAAGGCTTGAGTAAGGCTTGACACAAACACAAAAACCTCACCTATTAAAAAATCAACCCCATATGGCAAAAATATATCAAACTAACAACCTGTTAGAACTGGAAGTATTGACTTTCATAACGTGCAACCAGCCAAAGTCCAGCCTAAAATGGGAAGGTCATAGGAGGAGTTCTCCCTGCAATATTAGTTGTTCTTGCATTATGCAATGCTTATGAATTAGAATTCAGACTTAACTAAAACAAAATTTTCTTCAGAAATTTAGTTAAGAATGTGTGAAGGGGCTTTCAGGACTGAGTGGGCCAGCTACAACAGCTGCTGATTGAAGTTTGGTCCTGATTTAAAGTGCTGGCGCTAACATTCAAAGCCCTAAATAACTTGGGGTCAGTTATATGAAGGATTGCCTCCTCCATATGTACCTCCCCAAACCCTAAGGTAATCTTCAGGGGTCCTTCTGTGGGAGCCCCTTCCAAAGTAGGTGAGGAGGGTGGCTACCAGAAGGAGGATCTTTTCATAGGAGTAAGAAATGTTTTCTTTAGATGTATTCAGGGGAGACCATAGAAATTTATGTTACAGACCTTTCTAATAAAGTTAGGTCATATGAATTTGAACATGAGCTGATGGGCTAATTAGACACTGTTTTTTGTAGTTTAACTGATAATCAGGTCAGAGCAAGGTTATTGCACGAAATGGACTTTGCTGCAATGAATAGTGATTATTCACAGGGCTAATGAAAGCTATGCTTCCCAAATGAAAGTGTTAACAAGCCGTGAAAGAATAGAAGTACTTCTAATTAAAAATGAATATCAAATGCAAAATACCAAAAGAAGATGGATTGTAGAGCTCCAGGTTTGTTGGGATGGGAGACGAAAGGGGCAAGCAAACACCACCCATATTGAAGCCAAACCAGGTGGTTAGGTTTGTTAGGTTTGCTGAGTTACAGAGAAACCTTATGTTCAGTTTGTAAGTTTGGTGTTTTGTAAGCTCATGCACTACAGTGATCAGATTCTATGGCCCAACATGCTTTAGAGGCAAACAAGCTGTAAGAGATCTGTTTGAATAGAGGAATTTGTGGACTCAGTGCAACTTACATTACTGACACAGATTGATAACTTGGCAAAAATCCCATTGTTAGGACTGATCAATGAATGTTACTATTTCCAAATAGAATGTATGTTGGCAAAGGTGAAGAAATTTAAATAGGAATTATTGATTCTGCAAGGAATAGGCAAGAAAACTTTAGAACAAATGAACCTAACTCTTGAGAAAAAATTACAAAAGGACTTCTTTTAAAATATATTTATTGTTTGAATCTTCTGATGCATCCTAACACAGCTGAAGGAGAGACTTGCATAAATTAAATGGATTTTATAGAAGATGAATGCTAAAACTTAACTCCCAGACAAACAGGATGTATCAGATTAGCATTTTTGGAATGCGCTCCCCAGAGAGGTCCGCCTGGCGCCGTCATTATTTGTTTTTCGGCGCCAGGCGAAGACCTTTTTATTTAAGCAGCATTTTAAATGTTAATATTATTGAATTTTATTTGGCCAGGGCAGCTTATTTTATTCTACTGTATATATTTTAATTGTTATTGTTTTAATTTATTGTGTATTTTATTCAATGTTGTGAGCCGCCCCGAGGCTTCGGCAAGGGGCGGCATAGAAATGTTTTAATAAATAAATTAAATAAATTTACTGGTAGGAATCAGACCTACATCTCTCCACTCATCATACCATATATGGCAACTGGAGTCATCTTGTGGGTACATGTGTAACCATTACATTCTTTAGCTGAGTGTCTGTCCCCTTCCTTCCATCACTGTATTAACTGCAGATCAGCTTGATATAAGAACAGTTGTAATCACCTGTATACTAGTTATAGTTAGTGGTAGTGATGGTTATACTATGTCAGATAGCAAGTGCTGATGGGTGTCTGACTGTTGTTAAGCATTAAGCTAAATGCCTGTGTATTTTTATTACCATGACAACTGTAAGAACCAAGTTTTTGATAAAAGAGGCATATGTTTAAAGTTCATACATTGATACAGAAAGTATTGAAAAGAGAGAAAATTTCAAGATATGAAATGTAAATATATTCTAATATATATTTTAAATATTTCTTGGGTCAAAGTTGTTTTTGCAGTATATTAAAGGATACAAACGTCTATCCACGGTCTGCCTTCTTAATGCCATCTGTATTCTCTAAAATGGTATTTCATCATTCCTGTTTTCTGTATTCTATTTTTCCTCATACTAGTGAAATGTTCATCAGTATGAAATTCAGTGCATGTGTGAAGGTCAGGACTTTCTATCATAGGCTGAGATGTTGTGCCTTTTCTTTGTGTATTGGTATGCTTTGCACAACTATGAGGCCCCTGTAAGTGAAGACAACCAATCAATGACAATGTGGGGACCATATCTGCCCATATAGGAACATTTCCCCCTGTATTGATAGGGTAGTTTCCAAGTGTCTTCAAGAGATAATCAGGGGAGAGGATAATCCCCATGACATAGACAATATTCCCTTATCCCAGTCTTCCCTAACCTGGTACTCTCCAGATGTCTTGGACTTCAACTCCCATCACCCCCAGTCACCATGGCTAATGGTCAAGAATCCTGGGAAATGCAGTCCATGACATCTAGTGGACATTAGGTTGCAGAAGGCTGCTGTACTCAGCTGTGTCCCAGAAGGTAGCATGTTTACTTACTTCCACAGAAGTTGATTGGAGCACCAAGAACTTAGTCAGTTCTATTCTGACTGCCCTTTCCTTGCATGATGTACTTGGGTTCCATTTCTGTTACAAAATGAGAACTACTAGAGTGTCAAAGCTAATTTCATCAAACAGAAATTGCATTTTAAAGTTTAACACGAATTATATACTGTTGTATGGTAATTTATTTAATGTCATTATCAAAATGGCTTGATAACTTTAAAAATAAGGCAAGCCAAATGGAATAGTCTGTTTTAGCAGATAAATGCTGTTGCATCCTCTGTAATGCCCATGAAATGTATTTTATTTAAAAGCCTACTAAGGAAGTTTTATTATGATTTTAGATTACTTCAGCAGTAAATATGCTTATTTCAATGTACCCTTAATGCAGTCATTTTTTTTCTAAAAGCATTCACAAAGATCTACAAAGAAAGAATTGCATGGAGTGCTTGTTATTCATTTCCCATTTCCCCCATTTCTCAATTCATTTTTGTATTGTACCTTTTATGTTCAAATTTGTAAATCTTAGCCATGCACTCCAAGCAATTTGTGTAGCAATGTAAGGATATCTTTATTTTCTACTTGGACTCAGCTATTGCTCATGCAGTGATTTAAAATACAGCTTCCACCACACAGCACCACTGAGTAAGATTATGAGGTCCAGCACCATTTCAGTGATTACTGAATAGTTAACAAATTTTGTCACAAGCCATTGCTGACATCACCTGTACTAGTAAGTGAATAGCTACATCACCTGAGTATATCGCTTGAACAACTACAAGCTACTCAACAGCATGATGCCTTAGACAGCAGTACCTTAGAGGTAGTTCTGGTGTTTCCTCTGCCACATTATGATGCCCTTTACTCACCCATCTCTGTTCAGTGATGTGCAGTGGCAGAAGCTAGTGGTCCACCAAAACGCACTGCACTCATGCTATCATACAGTTTCAGAATTGGCACAAGAGGTCTACTTTGCTTTAGATAATATGCTTTGTACAACTGATATATAATTTTAATATAATTCAACAAATATTTTTTCCAGATATTCCATCAGTTAAAATAATACCTTCTACATTGTGGCCAGAAGAAGGACAATCTATAACTTTGATTTGTGAATCCAAAGGAAAACCACTGTAAGTGATTTAACAAGCAATATATTTTTGTTATTTTCTTTATTTTCCTTTGATTGCAGCCTCTGACTGCAAAGCTGTACTGTTTTTCTCTTGTCCTGGGGTGTAAAGTGATCTCTGGTACAGAAAACCCCTTGAAGCATGTCTTCATTAAGTGCCTATGGAAGACTGGTCTTTTACTTTGTCATTTATTTTAGTTTTGGGAAAGGATTCCTGCTGTGCATTTTTTAAAAGTAAGCTAGTTCAACCTGAAAGGATTGTAGGCTTATTTGCTGTTCATATCGTCAGACTGATGATGGATATGTGTTCTCAAAAGCAAAGCTTCACATCTGATGAAAAACTTTTAAAATCAAGACATTTTCCCCTCCCTTAAAGTGTTGAACTCATTGCTTGCTTTGGTTGTTATTTACATGGTAATTGGAAATTTAATGATATATGCAAATTATCTTTTCAACCATATCACTTTTAAAAATAGCATTAAGAGCATGAAGCTGTATATGTACAAGATTCACTAGGAACTTGTTTACTTATTTCTTCAAACAAACAAATGTTAAACCCATCCTAGACTATTAAGATTATTGGACAAAACCTGCTGTTTGATGATAGAATTCAAAATGCTTCCCCTGTATTAAATTAAATGCTCTCTAAACATATATTTTCTTTTAAATATTTATTTATGGTATATTTTTGTGAACACCCCTTAACCAAGCCATTAAAATACAAATATTACATGACTAGACTTGTTTGAGACACATCCCCCTATGCATGTCTACAGCCGCTTTCCCCTGTCCAGGGATAAAACCTGTCCAGAATACTAATCACACAGATATTTAGCTGAAGTGGTCTGGGACTTCACTGTGGATTTGATTCTATTCTGCTGAATGATAGGCTATTAGTCTGGTAGAGCTGGGCTAGAAACTAGGATGTTAGCAGCATGTTATACATTGGTACCTCAGTTCACGAAAGCCTTGGTTCACGACCGAATCGGGTTGCGAACAAAAATTTCATGAAGATTTTGACTTGGGTCCTGAACTCCACATTGGGTGGTGACCAAGATTGCAGCCATCTTCCCACCCCCCCCACCCCGAGTGGGGAGATGGCCACAATCACAGTTGCATTCATTCAGGAAAGACATGCATGATTGTGCTGTGCTGTGCTGCACCTGTCTTTCCTGCAGGAGCACTCCCATGATCACACATGTCTTCCCTGCATGAACGTAACTGCGATCGTGGCCGTCTCCCCACTTGGGGGGTGGGGAGATGGCCACGATTATGCTGGTTGTGGCGAGGAAACCTATGGAATTCACTCCCCAAAGAGGTCTGCCTGGCACCGTCGTTACTGGTTTTTCGGCGCCAGGTAAAGACCTTTTTATTTAAACATCATTTTAATTGTTAAAATATATGATCTGGCCAGGGCAACTTTCTTCTTCCTTCTCTTTTCTCCTCCTATATTATTTATTTACTTATTTTATACTGATAATTTTAATTTTATATTATTATGTTCATAACTCAGTGTATTTTTTGTATTTCTGTATTTAATGGTAATTTATTATGTTCTATTGTATTTCAATGTATTTTATTGTGTTGTAAGCCGCCCCGAGGCTTCGGCAAGGGGTGGCATAGAAATGTTATAATAATAATAATAATAATAATAATAATAATAATAATAATAATAATGGCCAAGATTGCACCCATCTTTCCTGCAGAAGCGTGCCCATGCTAGGATTTCTTTGAGAAGCACCACCCCAACATAGCTGTAACGAACAGAGTGTTGAATCTTGTGAACGATAACGTGGTCTCTTATTTCCAGAGGGTTGTGCAGTGAAGGAAAAAAGAAGTGACTGTAGACAGATGTTTCACTGAAATTGACTCTGCAGCTAAGAGACAAAGAAGAGAGGAAACCCCTGAAAGAGAGCTCCCCAATGCCCTTATGGAGGGGGACTCTCCCTCAAAACAATAACCTCCCCCCCTCACCTAGGTTAGTGTTCTCCACTGTACTGTACAGTACTTTGTTACTTTACAAAGTAAAGTAACAAAGTAACAACAATGTATTGTTTCAGATTTTTCTGATTTAAAAAATAGTTACAGAATGGATTAGCCTTATTTACATTGAATCTTATGGGGAAATTTGACTTGGGTCACAACCAGAGTCATGGAATGGTACCACTGTACTTTAATGAAGTATTGTTTCATAATGCCATGTGAACTGCTTTGAGATTTTTGAGATAGGATGCACTAGGAGGCATTGCTAGATAACCCATTTCTGCTCACAGGTACCCAACAGTTTGAACTGAGATTCTGAGAACCAAACTACATATTACTTTGAAAACAGAGCCAGCAGTATTCTTACTCTAAAATAAGTGCTGGGGATGCAGTCTAGATTGGAGCCTTAGTGCGGGCTAAGGGGATTTTAACCTGACAGTTCCATTTCTTAAATTTTAAATGAAGAGATCATATTTTGGCAATGAAAATTATAGACACAGAGGAAGCCATATTGGATCAGGAGCACAGTGAGGCACACAAGGTTAACCCCACCTCCACCTGGCTATCCTAAGGTCCCAGTCCAATTCTAGTCACTTGCATTTACGTTGAAGGAAGAATAAAATAAGAAGATGCATAACTAGCCAAGTGAAGTGGCTCTAAGACAGTTCTAGGGTTAAAAATAAACTTATAAGATAGTGGGATGGTTCTCAAATGAAGAATAGTAAAGAAGAGAATGAAGATTCGCTTTTCCTTCTTACTGAAAGAGAAGGTAATTAATTTTGGGTATATTTTATACTATATCTTTGTAAGGATACTCAGAATCTCAAGATACTCTATAGTCAGTTGATGTGCAGTAGAAAAAGAGAGAGATTAAGCATAAATGATTCGAAAAGGTCTCTTGCCACAGTTTTTTTCATCTCTGGAGATGTCAGAAAACTGTTCACACATTTTGCTAGATCTCTCAGCCAATGTGATTGTATAGAGACACAAATGGGGGTGTGCTGGTGGCCCACGGTATAGGGCTTCAAGATAATTGTGAAGTTACCAGCAGTAAATGGGTTAAATCGTAGCTGTAAAAATTTGACAAAATTAATAAAGGACTAAAAAATAGCAGAACATATACAAGGCAAGCCTGTCCAGGAAAGGTGTTCCATAAGTAGGACTCTGCTCCTTCAAATGATGGAGATTCTTCTAGAACCTCTGCTGATTACATCAGTACCTGGGTAGGTAACTCTCAGAACAGGCCTTCCTTTAAGTACCAAAGGAAAATAATACTGTCAATATCATACTCCTCTAATAAAAATCAATGGTGAAACCACACATGGAATTCTGAGTCATCACTCACCACCCCTCAAAACTGATATTGAAGAGTTGTAAAAGGTACAGAAATGGATAAGCAAAATTATTAAGGGGCTGGAACAACTCTCCTATAAGGGAAGCTTACAATAATGGGGACTGTTAGCTTAAATGAAAGTGAGGATGGGAAGATATGATAGAAGATTATATATGATAGCCTGGAGTCAGTCTACCTTACAATTATAAACATGAGCAGAGGAACATGAGCTGTAGGGTGACATTGCAGTCATGTCCTGCTTATGGACATCTTGCAAACAGCTGGTTGGCCACTCTGTGAATGCAATCCTCAACTACATAAGCCTTTGGTCAAATAGAGAATGGCTCTACTTGGCTATTTCATTAGTTAAGTGGATTTACAAAGCTTCATTTGTGTGGTGAATGCATCTGTGTCGATAATGTGACTACTTACTAGGAAAACTTTTTGGGGAAAATTTGTGTAATAACACAGAATTGAAAATGAACTACCAAGATCTTATTTCATACAAATATAAGAGGCCTCATAAGAGGTTCTGCAGGGAGTACAATGAAGAGGAGGGGTACAAAATTTCCATTATTTGTAGCAGCACAGATCTGAATTTAATTCACGGTATGAAAGAATGCTGGTTGAGAACATGGCACTGTGGTAGCCCCAGCTCTCTGGTTAAAGAGCCACATTTTTACACAAATGTGGAGACTTGCACTGAGCAGGGAATTGACCTGAACACCTTTTTGTCTCCTTCCAACTCTACTATTCTATGAGTCTATGGTAGGAGGCCCATATGTCAATTAAATATGAAAATGCTGCTTATAATTATATTGTACATGACCCATATTTGGGTACTCCTGAAAATATTGTTCTCCCTGTTTCCACATCTAATCTATATTGTTTGATAGAAATGGTTCTGTAACTGAAAGTTGTCTGAAGTAGATATTTTGATCTCTAAATACAGCATGCATAGGCCTAATCAATTAACACCTGCAAGAGAATAATGCATATGCAGCAGCAGTAGTTCAAGAATTCCTTTTTACTGTCTTCTCCCTTTATAGTGGGTGCCCCACTTGTTACAGCTTTCTTGTCATTGTGCACAGAACCATAGCTAGGCCATGCTTATGTTTGACGCGTGCCAGACAAGAGCTAGAATGTGTTCTGTCTATAGCCCTCTTCGAAGCAGGGCTGACTAACAGATACTTGACTGATCAAATAGATGGCTTTTCTCTTCTTTTGTCTTTTTAGGGTACAGTTTTGATTTGATTATTTCTCAGATAGTAGAAAGTCACTCAGAATGTCTTCTCTTGAATTCTTGGATTTTGCATGAGTTCAATGATTTGGGAGCTATTTAGCATGTAATTCCTTTGTGGCTTTTGGTGCCAATAATCAGAAATGGATTCTGCATAAATCTAAGAGCAGCTTCAGTTTGATGTATGGTAGGTGAGTCTATACCCAAAAGCAGGATGAGATAAGCAGATCCTTCAGTGGCAACACATATTTCTAAATATTAAAAATTGAAATGTCTGCCAATTTTAATGCCAAGAGGCTCACACCTTTTAAGCCTGACATATTTTTACAATACCATAGCTTATCTTCAAATATTTTGGCAAGTCAAGTGAGACAGTGAACAAGAAAGTTTTCAAGGTAAGAAGGGCCGTTTAGTACCCTCTGTATTCTGATAAGATGACATAGCTGTG